TGTATAGATTATAGAAAATTAAATCAGGCAACTAGAAAATATCATTTTCCTTTACCTTTTATGGATCAAATGTTAGAAAGGTTAGCAGGACAGGCTTTTTATTGTTTTGTGGATGGTTATTCAGGGTATAATCAGATAACAGTAGATCCAGAAGACCAAGAAAAAACTGCTTTTACTTGTCCTTTTGGTGTGTTTGCTTACAGAAAAATGCCATTTGAATTGTGCAATACCCCAGCAACTTTTCAAAGATGCATGTTGGCTATCTTCTCAGACTTGGTGGTACAAAGCATAGAAGTTTTTATGGATGATTTCTCAGTATTTGGTGCATCATTTGACCAATGTGTGAGGAATTTGAATACTGTATTAAAGCGGTGTGTTGATACCAATTTAGTTTTAAATTGGGAAAAATGTCATTTTATGGTAACTGAAGGTGTGGTATTAGGCCATAAGATTTCTGCAAGAGGGATTGAAGTTGACAAAGCAAAAATAGAGATTATTGAGAAGCTTCCACCACCAACAAATGTGAAGGGCATAAGAAGTTTTTTAGGACATGCAGAAAAATATATTCTGTAGATTTGGTACTCCCAGAGTTTTAATCAGTGATGGAGGATCACATTTCTGCAATACTCAACTTCAGAAATGTTTAGAGCATTATGGGGTCAAACATAAAGTTGCGTCACCTTATCATCCACAAACTAATGGCCAAACAGAAGTTTCAAACAGAGAAATCAAAAGGATATTAGAAAAGACTGTTTCATCTTCAAGAAAGGATTGGTCAATAAAGTTAGATGATGCACTTTGGGCTTATAGGACTGCATATAAGGTTCCTACTAGGTTATCCCCTTTTCAGCTTGTCTATGGTAAGTCATGTCATCTTCCAGTGGAAATGGAGCATAAAGCATATTGGGCTTTAAAATTTTTAAATTTTGACCCAAAAGTTTCAGCAGAGCAAAGAAAAATTCAAATGCATGAATTAGAAGAAATGAGACTTAATGCATATGAATCATCCAAATTATACAAAGAGAAAGTTAAGGCATATCATGACAAGAAGATTTTGAAAAGAGAATTTCATCCAGGCCAATCAGTTTTACTGTTTAATTCAAGGATAAGAATTTTTCCTGGGAAACTGAAATCTAAATGGTCAGGCCCATTTGTAGTAAGATCTGTGAGGCCGTATGGTGCTGTAGAATTAGAGGATCCAGCAACAGGAAGAACGTGGACAGTCAATGGGCAGAGAATTAAGGCATATTTGGGGGATACAGTGAAGGAGCTTCATCCCATTATCTACTTAGATGATCCTTAAAACAAAAGGCGTCGAGCTGAAGACGTTAAACAAGCGCTCCTGGGAGGCAACCCAATGTTTTGAATTTGTTTTTTTTTTCTTTTTTCTTTTTGCAGTTTAAGTTTTTTTGTGCATTTTTCTTCTTTAGGTTCTTTATTTGCAATATTGCTCCAGGTACACAGTGCACTTCTCCTCAAGACTTTGAAGCCTTACTTCAATGGCCTGGGGACATTCCAAATTTTCTGGAGGGGGTGAGAAAGTCTGCAACTGAGGCTGAGGCACAAGATAAGGAGTACATGACAAGTGAAGAAAATGAGGGAGGAAACTTACTTTACTTTTAATGTTTTTAATTCCTTTGTTTTAAATTTAATGTTTTTAATTGCTTTATTTTAAATTTTGAATTCCTTTGTTGTCCCATAATTTGTTTTAGAGCCATATATGAAATTATTGCTTATTGTCTAATTCAAATCTAGAACATGAAAAATAATTTTGATTGTTTCCAATAACAAGTGATTTTGGGATATTGAGTATGATAGTGAAAAGGAATTGATGAGGAAAATTAGGAATTAACTGAATTGGAGAAGCTAGCCAAAACCCAGGTGAGCAGAGTACCACAAACAGATAAATTGAGTGTCAACACTTTGTGATGATAACTCGATATTGGTTGATTCTTTGATGTGATTACATGTTAGCAAGACTTGAAAATGATAAAAGCATTTTTTCTTTGTAATAGATATAACCCAGAACCAAATAGCCAACCATGCATTAATTATAAGACATCCATTTGAACCATTTCTGAGCCAAAAAAATAATATTGTTTCTTAAACAGAACCCTTAAGCCTAAACACTATTTATCTATCTTCCTATATTTGAGAAAGGAAATGAGTATGAATGTCACTATTTTTCTTATTGTTGGGTATTGCTATTGTTGTCCTACAGGTATTGTTGGGGTGTTATTGTAAAAAAAAAAATGTAAAGAAAAAGGAAAAGCAAAGCTTAAAAATTTGCAAAGCCAAAAAAAGGATACATGCAAAAGCAAAAAAAAAAAGAGAAAAAAAAAAGTAAAAAGGGGGGTAATAACTTGTGAGATTATTAACTCATTGTCATTGTGTTAGGGACAAAAACATAAAGTTTGAAACCTGACTTGAGAAATTGTTAATCAAGAATCATTCATATGAGTTGAATTTCTCAAATATTTTTGTATATCCCAGAAAAACCAATAATTCTTTCTTAGCCCAGCCCCATTACAAGCCTCAAAAGACCTTTTGATTTAAGTCTTGTTTAACAATTGTTGATTGCTTGAAGATGATTATCAATATTGGATTGTCTAAATGAAGTGATTGAATGAGATAAACACTTACCTGTGAGAATTAGAGATGAGTATATATAACTCTATTTGAGAGATCATGCTTCTCTGAGGATAGTTGAGGACTAATTATTCTTTGTTGGTTTCTATAACTTGAATGCTTATGTGTTCTATTTTCATTTGGAGTTGTGAGCATCACCTCTGAAAATTTTTATGTTGTGGTTCTAGAAGAGAAAAAGATAATAGGTGATGATTTTGTTTTGGAAAAATTACTTTGCTTGGGACAAGCAAGATTCTAGGTTGGGGGGAGTTGTTAAGTGGTAAAAAGTTGATATAATTATGCCTTGAATTGTTATGAAACCACTTAACTTATGTTAATTCTAATATATTTTTCTCTCAATATAGGATGAATCCGAGAATACCTTGATACAAGAGTAAGGAGCATAATTTTCAACATAATTGGAGTAAAATTGAAAGAAAGAAGAGCGCTTAAGCGAATAAATGATGCGAGGCCCGACCCAAATTCTCTTATAAAAAGATAAGTTGTGTTTTGAGAAAAGCAAGCAGTCTTGGAGAGGAGGAGGCACGACTACTGTTAGGGTTTTGTCCAATCGTCATCAATTCTTCTTCATCAATTGAAGCATTATAATGACCAACATGAGTGACTAACTTCATTCTCTTAGGATTCGGTGCACTTCCTTTGAACTCTTTTGTATCATGGTGATATTTTGATATATTAATCTATGCTTTGATGTTGTTATTCTTATCTTCTATGCTTTGGAATGATTTATTCCTGATTGTTTGAGGTATGATTGGAAAATATATCTTGAACCCTAGATCACGGTAAGAATATTTGTTATGTTAATTGCCAGGAATGGAATGAATGTATCAAGTGCTTAAACACCTTAACCCTAATGCTGGAAAATCTGTTAATTGTGTGAGGAATCAACATTTATTAGGTTTTCTTATGAATTTCATGTGTGAGGAATCAACATGGATGCTTTGAGTAGGTGTCATCAACATTGTTAAGTTAATTGATGTTCTTAATTGACATAGCCATTACAAAAGAGGGATAAGGAAGGAAGTCAATCCTAAGTACCTTTAATTGATATTTTCTCAACAATTTACAGTTCTTTGTCATTTAAATTCAACTCAACTCTTATTTGCAAAACTCAATCTGTTTAATATACTTAGTAAGCATAATTGAGAATTTTTATTGAAACTGTTCCTCGTGGGATCGACTTTTATTTTATCGAAATACTATACTGCGATTGATAATTTGGTACGCTTGCCAATAATTCAACAGTGAATTTTAATAAACTTGATATATTTTATAAAAACTTTCGATGCCGTAATTAGATTAATAACATTTACTTTTGACAAAATACCATTGGAATACTCATTTTACTTAATTTAGCACCTCATATTATAATATTTTTATTCATATCACAAGAACTTACCAATGCATTGGATAAGAAAATGTTTTGTTCATGGTCAACATTTTCGTACAAAGAAATTAAATACTCAATATGGTTTCAGTATTTTTATTTCTCCTGTATCAATATTTCATTTGTTAAAAAAAATATTAAAGATTGAACTACAAGATAAACAATAGTTGTAATTATTTTTAATAAATTTATTATTATTTTTATTAATACTTTTGATATCTTAATATTTTCTCCATATAAAACTTGTTATTTTCCATTGTATACATAATGCTGAGTCCACTAGTTAAATGATGTAAAGGTTAGATTTCACCTCACCACAAATTTTCAAGTTCCCGTCAATTCTTTGAGGAAACTCATAAGCTTAACTTAATGCATTGACTTCCAAATTTGACGTGAAAATTTGAGATCTCTACTATGAAAACAAATACTCATGTTACCTTCCTTTGAACATAAATGTTCAACCGTGCATTGAAAGGTGAGAAATCCATAAATGAAATCAACTTATCTGTTCATGAAGAAATGGATTAACGAGTGACTAAGCATTTCATTTATGTCGCTTGATTCACGGTATGTGACCTCGGAAAAGGATTCTACTTTGTGAGTGGGGCTTTGTGGCGACTACGCGGTTTCCCAAAAAGATGGATAATCCACCTCAAAGGTGCATTTCATTCAACTTGAACCACAAAGAATTGTCTTTTCCCCCACCATGTGTAGTGAATCAATGCTTTCCACCAAACTTTTTTCGAATTTTACCATCCCAGAGAAGTATCTATCAATAAAAGTAACGAACAGGGACAATAAAGAGGAGTCACCTCAACGCGTTAACTAGAACGTACACAACTCCAATTCTATCACTCTTCCTCTCAAAAATACAAACCTTATATATGCATACAAACCATAAACTTAGTAGTAGCAAGATCGAATCTAAAACATTTGTATGTTTCTTAGTCCCAGAACATAGGCCATGTCGAATTTGAGTTTCCTTAATTTTCACAATAGCAGCTCTTTGGGTCACTCCTCTCAACCCAAAAGTACAACCCCAAACAGCAACAACTTCAAACCAAACCAGACATCAAATATGGGATGCAATTTTCAGCCAAAATCAGAGGAAATGAAATGGGTGTTTGACAAGTTTGACACCAACAAAGATGGCAAGATTACCCTTGAAGAGTACAACGTAGCTGTGAGGACAATGGGGTGGGGAATTGGAGGCACTGAGGCTGTGGAGTCTTTTCGGGTGATGGACTCTGATGGAGATGGCTCCATTGATTTCAAAGAGTTCATGGAAATGTTCAACGTAGAGGAGAGGGTGAAGGAAACGGAGATCAAGAGTGCTTTTCAGGTGTTTGATTTGAATGGAGATGGAAAAATCAGTGCAGAGGAATTGTCACATGTTCTGAAAAGCCTAGGAGAGAGTTGTAGCCTCAGTGCTTGTAGGAAAATGGTGATGGGGGTAGATGGAAATGGAGATGGCTTTATAGACTTGAATGAGTTTATGAGGATGATGATGAGTGGCAAGAAACTCACCTAAGTGATCATGTGTGTGTGTCTCTGTCTTTTCCTCTGTATTTTAGGTTGCTACGTTGATATTTTGGTCAAACTATACATGTATGGATATGTTCTCCTGCCATCAACAGGATGGATATTGTTATTATTATTATTTTCTCTTTGATTTTTTCTCCATAGCCTGTTTTGTTATCAGACGTTATCACTTTCAGCAAAAGCTTGCAAAAGCTAGATATAAAGTTATTAAGGAAATCAACAACTTTAACCAAAACAAAAAAATAGCACGGATGAAACACAACTAAAATAACCATGACAGCATCAATGGCACCAAGTAGAAAACAGAGTAAACTATGAATAAGTGTGATTTCTGATTGAAGTTTAACTGATGAATTAATTGATTTTGATCCTGTCTTACTCGGCAACTTCACTTTAGTGTTCATGATTAGAAACCTCCTCAGATCTTGTGGTCTTGTGTAAGTGTATACAATTCGTGTAAAAATACGTAGAGGTGTTAAACTTGTTTTCGGCAAATAATTCCTGGTGAATGATTATTCATGAAAGGATTACCCTCTACAAAAATAAATTATAATTAGTTTATTCATAAATTAGTTAAACTAACTTTATTTCATGAAAAATAACATTTTATTTTATTTCTCATATTTTTTTTCTTAAGAAATATTTATGAAAACTCACAACCCATAATTTACATAAGAATTAAAACATCTTGAGAATATTTGAAATTTCATCATAACGTGGTTATAAGAAAAACTATTTTTAGCTATATTTTAAACATTCTTAAAGATTTAAACATTGCATAGTCATTCTCATCTTCTAAGAAAGTATGGATAAGTTTTGAGGGGTTTTAAAAAAATAATTAAAGTAAGTTTTGTTTAGGAAAGAAAGTAAAAGAGAAAAAAAAATACAAAGAATAAGAAGACAAAAAAACTATGATTTTAGGATGTTTAAGAGAAAAATAAAATATAAAATATAAAACTTTTCTTCTGTTCTGGTTGCATATCTAAAATGAAGGTAAAAGAAAAATTCAAAGTTACATAAATTATAAAAACATAAAAGTAAGTAAGTATAGTTTTTATAAAACTTTACTTCTCATGGGAAAAGACTTTGAACCTTTGTATATTTCAGGGTTTATTATGTAGGATTATTTACTTTTGAATTGAGTTATTTGTGAGAAATAGAGGGGGTGGATTGTTGAGCTTCACACTATTATTTTTCATTTCAATATGTGAAGAATTGGTTGAATCAAATGCTTAGTCCAATTTTGTCCTCATGAAAAATATTGATGCGTACTATTTTTATACTTTAGAGTTATCCTTTGTGTGAAGGTATTTGCCACAACTCCTGGTTTCTTCCATTTCTAACAAGTTTTTGAGTTTGAGGTAAACTATTTTTAAATTGTTGTTAGAGATTTGATGATAGTGTGAACTTAATAATAGTTTAAAAATTTGTTGGATTTTCATATTATGTAAATTGTTTTTACTGTAATAATGAATTGAATTTGAATATTTATGAGTTAACGTTTAAGATAAATAATTTAAATAGATATTTAAAATCCTTGTATATATACTAATTAATAATATGATTAAATATATTTTCTAATACAGAAAATATATATATATATATATATATATATATATATATATATATATATATATATATATATATATATAGTATCCTTATATGTTTATGTATTATAGAATATAATACATAGGGTTTAACATAAGATTATTTAATATGCTATTACATATCATTACTTGTTACGAATTAAATTTTTTATTTAATATGATATTAGGCTTTTGACATTCGGGAAAAAAAATGGAATATGTGATTAGGATTTAGTAGGCTATTAGAGTTTGGGGGTTGTGGATTTCTTTAATATTGCTTTTTTTATTTTTTTATTTAATAATTTATAAATATATGATTGGGGTTTTAATATACTTTTAAAATGTTTTAATATGTCAATATTTTTTATTTGGTTTAGATTTTTTAATAATTTAAAATATATCATTTGTGTTTTAATATTTTTAAAACAGTTTTATTATGAAACTTGTCATTAAGATTTAATGCTATTAGGGTGGAAGTGTTATTAGTAAGGGAATTTATATATTTTTTTATGAATTATTATATTTATAGTTAAAAAGTTTGTACTTTAATTTTCATAATATAATTATAGAAATTGTATTTGAAAATGATTTTATAAATTATTTTTTAAGAAATAATAAGAAAAAATTAATCATATATATATATAAATATATATAAATTAGTACGGATTAATTTTTGTTACAATTACTTTTTATATATTATCATTAAATTCGTTAAAATATTTTATTACTAACATATTTAAAGTACTTATATTCACTAAATATATTATATTTAGTGAATATAGTATTACATAAAAATAGTGTGTGTATATTTATATAAATAATATATTAATAAAATTAATAGAAGTTAAACGTAATTCAGAAGAAAAGTCAGAAGTATGGTGTTTTGGTGGAAGGATATTCAATGTTTTACATAAAAAAGTAATTAGGAGATTTTTTTATAGGGTCAAGTAACATGAGAGTGTTGTAATTAACTATTAACTCATGAGGTATAAACGTAATTTATTTTATAATAAATTCTAAAATTTATTTATTTCATGATTGAAAAATAAAATGATAGACTGATTAGTTTCCCACGATTTCTACCCGCCAAACAAATTAAAATGCAGTATAAAGTAGTGTTTGGTGAGGATATGAAAAGAGAACTCATGACATGTTTGGTTGGGTGTCATTAACACTGTCCCTCTCAAACACTTCAGCGTCCATTTTGATTCTGAATGTTTTTTCTTCTTCTCATCCAAACATCATTGAAACATGCCTGTAATAACACATCATTCATCCATTTGATTGGAATCAAAATATATAATTTATTTGAGCTTATATTTTAAAAACATAATTCATATTTTATCGCATCTCATGTAAAATATGAAAATAATATATTTAATACTTGTAAGGCAAAGATTAAATTGAACGATATTAAAAAAACTTAAGAGAGAAACATATATATTTTGAAATTGAATGATAAGATGAACGATTGTTCGAAATAAAGGAGAAGAGAATAGAAAAATATCATTGGTGAATGAGTTCACAATTCACAAGACATATCTGATTATTATCTGTTTACAGCTAGGAGGGCGTGTGAGTTTTGAAATCTGAAAGCATATACATCGCTTATCGTGGCGCTTTATTCTATCTATGTACAATCCGTGTGTATACGGAACTACAAAGCTACAGCAGTACTGCCCAAGATTCTTCATTTTCCTCCCTCTACTCCTATTTTATGCTTTTTTTGCTCCAACCTAATTTCAACCTACCCAAAAACATAGATTTCATTCAGGAAAACTTATGGGAAGGATCATCAGACATCTGTATAACATTTACTCAATTTTTTCTGATCAGTAACCACTATGAGTTCAATGTGCACTACATTACATTATATTTAAACATGTTCTGTTTTGGTATTTACACATTTACATTAAGAAATAATTTCTTTCTCAAAAACACAGATGGTCAAAATAAACAATGATCTTTTCAAATCCAGACTAATTGCCTGATGGATTTTGCTACTGCACTGCTAAATGACCTTTCCCAAAGAGAAAGGCACCCTCTTTTTTTGTTCTTCCTCGAATTAGTCTCACTAAATGTTAGTTTAAGGAATTTAAAAATATTTACTTTGGAAACAACGAAGTAATAAAATACATGCTGTTGGATATCATGCAAATTGGCAATGGCAAGCAAACAATAAACATTTAACTAGCCGTTGTTTCTTCTGATCTGACATTGGAAACTGAACATTAACATTAAATTCAAGAGTCAAAAGATAATATGAAATTTAAACTTGGGTTTGGGGTAGTAGCCCAACCAATAAGATGCAAGTTACTGTTACATGATGGGAGACCAAGACCTGATGCAGCCTCTCAGGCCAATTCCAACAGCCTTTTAACTCTAAGAATTTGCTGATTATGTTTTGACTGCTGCATGTTCGAAGGCTATTATTTGTGCAAATCAACCACGTGGCATAACCCCATTAGGGTGGCCACTTGGAAAGGGCTCAATCACGTGAGTGACAACCATGTCCTTAGACTCCAAGTTAAAAATATTTTTGAACCCTGTCACCCTTGGCGTTTAGCCTACTCGTACCTGCATCCTGCCAATCTTCTTGCTCTTGGACTACATCTAGTTCTACTTCTAAATAATACTCCAACTCTATCTAACATTGTAACCTCTCCTATATTGCTCCAAGTACAAAGAATCGATACAAGTTCATAGCATAACGTAACGGAAATCATAGGTTATTTGCAAAAATTGCAAATAGTCATTAGTAACTAATGAACAAGCCATGATCAGAAGTTTTAAATATTATATTTGCGTGGAGGCTGGATTTGTTTCCTTTCCTTCCTATGATTGGCAAAAACACAAGGTAGGGCAAAAAGTCATTCAGTCCCTCTCAAGGAAAGTTTACATATTAAAGATACAAACATTTCTATGAGTTGGTGCAGGCCAGAGTTGGTCTAGCTTAGGAAGTGAAGGGTTTCTGCGAGAGGCCACGTGATTCCTTACAGTATGTGCACAGCATGAGGAGCGAGTGACTAGGAACAGGGAAGCAGATTCAAACACCTCATTATGGCCACTTAATGCGATCACCCCATTTTCGATATGGACACGGTGCATGATTTGATCTTTATTTTAAGCCCTGTTAGTGACTCCAATTAGCAAAATTTCCAACCCATCTTGTCAAATTTTCTGTATCAGTAATAAATTCAGTGCTATAACATTGGCGTGGCACCCTGTTATTATTATTATCATTATTATTTCAACTGTCCAAGTTTCAAATCAATTTAATAGTAGGGTTTTGAGTTAGGCTTAAATTTGTTATGAAATTCAAAGGCAATATCCCGGGTCACGTGGTCACTTTGATCCGTCAGTATCGCCAGCTCATACCGTGCTTTTTACTTTTGGAGTCAAAGCATGGTCAAATGGCATAGCTGTGCATGCATGCTGGCCCTCTCTGTAAGCTGTAACTCTGCCACTGTGCCTCTGAGTCACTGTAATGTGAGGCCTTAAAACTTAGCTCAAAACATTCAAAGCATTTAACCCTCCACAAACCCTCAATGCTGTCGCTTTCTGTACCACAAATGGTAACTGTTTTCAACTTGCCATCTCCAAAACCTGCCAAATTCACCTCCCATTTTTAACACACTCATTTATGTTTTCACCCTTCAGTATTAAATTAACCCTCACAATTTTAAGTTTTTAACTGCTTCGCCTTGGACCACTACCATTTATTTATCTGCAGAAGAATATATATACTTTGTTCCTACATGTCATGAGTTACATCCAGGAGAGACACGTTAATAGTATTTGTTTAACCATTGACTGCCACCAACTCAATAGAATCATAGAACCAAAGAAATTTATTATCCAAGTTGTTCTCCAAAAGAAAATGGAGGTATATATTGTGTTTTGTTATATTATGCTTGTGCATTGGATGTTGAGATGACATCGTTAGAAGTGCAAGTTCTTAGAATCTTCCCAAAACTTTGTTTATCATTTAATAAACATGAAGCGAATGGGATTGGCCTAAAAAGGCAATCTTTGCATCAGTTACCCGTGGGGTAAAAGAAAGAAAGAAAAGAAAATGACCTCTGTTGGCAGTTTCAGCGGCTTCACTTACTCCCAAAGAGTGAGCTGGTGTAACTCGAGGGACAGTACATTCCTTCAATTGAACGCTAAATTAACATCTTGTGACAAAACACAACAGTTCCATTTAATGTTAGTTTAATTCAACAATATTTCATTTAATGTAAAGTATCTCATAATCTTAATTAAATTTTAAACATGTCTACACTCTTACATGTATGCTTTCTTCAGAGAAAAGCATCAATTTAAAAGAACTATTCTGGTTTCATAGTGTCATGGCATGAACAATATGATTTTTTTTAGAAAAGGAAAAACATTTTTAAGAAATATATACTTGATGTATGTATAAATGAATAAAGACAAAACTTGTATGCAGTTACTTGTTTAGTTTTATACCAATCCTATAATATTGTCTTATTAATCATCTTGTTTTGTCTCGTAAGTAAAGACTGATGCATTTTAAGACATTAAATCTTTTTTTTTTCATTTAATATTTTTCTTAGAAGACAATATCAAGATTTATAAGAGAACATAAGATTAGGGAATATAAATACAAACATGTTAGAGTGGGTTGTGAGATGTAATACTGAGAGGGAGTGAGGGGTCCCAAGTAGAATTTAATAGGCACTTTGGTTGTGCTTCTCATCTTATATCGATCCATTTTCACTCTTATAATTTCCATGTTGTTATTCTTCGTCTCATGGCATGCTTAGAGATGTACAACTCGGAGCACAAGGGTCGCCATCACAATCATCACTGCGCTCCAGTGAGTCCCAGAATTTCTTTCTCGAACGACTTTGCGGATGCTCAGCAAGCCACCAAGCAGGAACACAGCAGCGCCAGCAGATCAGAGGTTCCTGCAGTGTCCTCAGATTTCGAGTTTTCTGTCACCAACTACTCCATGATGAGTGCTGATGAGCTTTTCTTCAAGGGAAGGTTGTTGCCCTACAAGGATACCAAGAGGGCCACCACCACTCTCAGGGAAGAGCTCCTTGTGGATGATGATGATGAGGGGTTCCAAGACTTCTCTCTCAGGCCTCCCAAAGGCTCTTCCACTAGGTGGAAAGGCTTTCTGGGTCTCAGGAAAAGTCACCTTGGATCCAAGAAGGTTGACAAGAGTGAAGGCTCTTCTGACACAGTTGTTGAGACAAGAAGAGCTAGTTTGTTCAACGAGGGAGCTAGGCTTAATGTCAATTCACAGGTTAGTTCCCCCTTCATTCTTTGAATTTGTGTTACAACCTCAAAAAGTCAGTTGCCTCTCCCATTTATGTACATTATTTTGATCATGTTATAACTGACATGGATCTCCAACATTTAAGTTTCTGTTTGCTTGATTTTATTTAGTTCTTCTATATTTTGGTACGATGCAGGAGTTGTTGAATGAAGGAGGATCAGGTAGCAGGGATGTTGAGATTGGGTTATAGAGTTAACTGAAGAAGGTATTGAATTTGTTTTGTGTAGGAATAAGAATAATCTATGAACTTTTTATATTTATTTATTATTTATTTTTATTGTTGATTTTTGTTTTCTTCTGCCTTTGTAGGGTGACGGGCCATTTTTTTTTTCCTTCAGCGGGTTTCAGAACTAAACCAAGGCGATGAATTTATGTTATTAGACTTTTGTTTGTCAGCTTTGATTCTTCCATAATTATCTGATTTTTGGTCCACCTAGTGGTTAGGATTTCACTGTTTGTTGTACAAATTATTTGCAGCTAGATTGAAAAGGCCAACAAAAAATGAATTGAATCTTGTTTTTAAGTTTTGCACACTTTCTTAAGCTGTTCCATTGCTATGCATTAGATGGACTAGGAGAGTTGTGGGGTGTGCAAAAATGTTTGTTTGTGAATTCATTTCACCTGGGTTGAGATCCAACATGATTTTTAAATAATTAATGTCAGAAGAAAAGAAGAGTATAACATCATTCAGATCTCTTGTAAACAAGACCTTACCTTGCCGATTAAATTTGTCTAACTCAAGAATATTTATATTGATTATATTTTATTCAGTGCTTCACTGTTTCAGCTTAAGCTGTAAATAGATACTAGTAGTAACATGAACTTTATTCTCGTCTCTATTGATTTTCAACCGAAGATTAGGATATGGTTTCTTCCATGAGCCAATCTTTGTTCTCGTCTCTGAGAGCCCTCCACGAATGTTGTCCCTATTTTGCTGGATTGAACCAATGTGTTTGTCTCTGAAGTCAGTCTCTGTTGACTGGACTTGTCACTGTTTCAAATTCTGTTGAGAAATTACATTTTTTTTATTATCTTGGAAAAAATCCAATTCTGCATTTCCTGATCCAATCATACTTGGGGTCTAATTATAATCATTGGACAGAATCCTGACCCTACAAATATTCAAGCTGACATTTATTAAAAAAATTCTATCAAGGATAGAATTGATGTGTTATTTATTTTTATGTTGTAAACATAATACATTATTTTTAGTTATATATATATTTATTTATTTTTCTATAATACATTCTATGCACACTAGTTTTATAAATAGCCAAAAAAATTCTCATATTATTGTAATTTTATAATGCATACTTAATCTTCTTAATTATTTTATTTTTTTAACATTAAACTAAATTTTAATAATTTAAAAAAATATAATTATCTAAAACTAATTTTAAATAATAATTTAATTATTCATTAAAAATTTAATGTATATTTTATATATAAAGTATTATCTAATATTATAAAATTTCATATAATATAATTTTATATTAAAATATTTATTTACTATAATTTAATTAGACTATAGTAAACATATACCTACAACTAATATTAGTTTGAAAATGTCAATAATGATGTGTGACCAAATAGTACAAGGTGGAACTCCTATTCAATGCACCAACAGACCAGACTTGATATCAACGATAGAAATTGAATATTTAAAATTGAATTTTCTATTTGAATCTGTTCTATTAAATGTTTTACATTATTTGGTATCTGCTTTCAAATTCACTATCCTAATTATAATTTATTGATAAAATCAATATTCTAATTAATTGTGTGGTTTGAGTTTATAGTGAATTGAGGTTATATATAATATAGCAGGAAAAAAAAACAAGCATTTTGATATACACAATATTATTACTATTTTATTCATTTATAAAATAAATTCTTCATTTTTAAAATTGGTTTAAATTGATAAAAAAATATATTTTAAATTAATATTTTATTTATTTATTTTTGTTAAAAATAGACCCATTTCAAACAAAACAAAATATGCAAATAACTAAGAAAATATAATTGATTTTGTCGTAAGTTTAAAATTATTTTATAAAAAAATTTGATATAATTTTTTAAATTTGTCAATAAAATTAATTTTAAGTTATAACAAAACATTCCTTTATATATATATATATATATATATATATATATTTTTTTTTTCTAAATATCTTTAATAAAAAATTATCGAAATATATTCTTAATCCATTCATTTGAAGTCATAAGATTTGTTCTGTGACGTATGCTTTTTATCGTGCAAGAAAAGTTCGTAACGAAGTTTTCCTCATGCACAGTAAATTTTTTTTATATGTTTGAAGGGGGATGAATGGTTTCTACATGGAAATTCTTCCTCCCATATCACATGTTCCTCATTCTTCTTCTTCTATTGTCTAAATTTCTAAGCAACGAGACTCTACTCGTGCGGGATCCAGTGAAACGGGAGAAATATTGAATTAAGTGGGAAAACTTTGGTAGAAATACCATACCAAGTAAGGGAAGTTTAATTCATTCAATATATGAAATTGAATTGTCTGGGTACTCGTGAATAAGGAATAGGAGTAGAGATATGAATTATTTGAATGTCTGATTTTGAAGAATTTCGATTTTGATGAACTGTTCACCGTTTAAAAGTTTTTGAAATTCTTGAAATTAAGGATGAATTATATAATAAAAGTGTTGTTTTTAACTTAAATTGAACATGTTTATGGTTTAATTTTGATTTGGAACTAATTTGGGTGATTGAAACCGAGAAATTTGAAATCTGGATTTTGAAAATGGCGTATCGGAGGTGATTACTATTCATATTTTGCAAAGTTTTAAATATTGATTAAATTCTTGAAATTAAGGATGAATTATATGGTAAAATTGCTGTTTTCAACTTAAATTAGATATAATTCATGTTTAATTTCGATTTGGGACTAGTTTGGTTGTCTAAAACCGAGTAATTTGAAATCTACCAAAATCTGCAAAATTTGACACTCGTGATCTGGGCGAAGGAAGAAGAAAGGGATATGGTGGGGATTATTTAAAAAGATCAAGGGTAAAATAGTCATTTTTCATCCTAGGGACATAAATGTAATTTTTGAAAATGTTCAAGGACAAAATAGTCATTTTACATCCTAGGGACATAAATGGAATTTTTGAAATTGTTCAAGGGTAAAATATTCATTTTTGGGACATGGAAGGAATTTTTGAAAATGTCCAAGGGCAAAATAGTCATTTTTGGGACATGGAAGGAATTTTCAAAAATGTCCAAGGGTAAAATAGTCATTTAGGGACATACATGGAATTTTAAGAAAAGATTAAGGGCAAAATAATAATTTAATGATTTCGAAAATGATTTCAAAAATAGTTTCGGAAATGATTTCGGAAATGATTTTAGAAAAATATATATATATAAAGAGAGAGAGAGAGAGAGAGAGAGAGAGAGAGAATGAAAGTAGTGTGTTGTGACGTGTGTGGGTCAGGCTGAGCCTAAGGGCTGATGCCCAGAATCAGTCCTGAGACGTTATATATTGGCTAGACTGAGCCGGAAGGTTGGTGCCAGAATCAGTCAAATACTATTTTTATTGACCCGAATGAGCCGTGAGGACAGGTGGTCCAGAATCTGAAAAATGTGAATAAATTTTTTTATGTTTGAATGGTACCCGGGGTGGTACAGAGTACATTAGTGTAATAACTATGTTGGAGGATTCTGAATGAGGTCCCAGATTTCACTGATTGGTCGGGTCAGGTAGACTACGATATCAGGTGGTGAGAAGTCGATGTGAGGATGACTGGTGGCGCGCTCGGAGGGGTACTCCAGTATGAGTGATGAAGGGCGCCAGTAATCCTACTCTGTGTGGAGGGTGGTCAGAATGGTACTGCGGGTATCGATCACAATGTGCCCACAGATGATAGTCTCTGAGTTCGGGCATAGTTAGGGTATACTTCCGGAAGGTGTCTTAGTGTGTTGATAATTTCGTAATTGATCATAATATATAATTATTACTTCTATATCTGTTTTATTATATCGAATGATTTAATACTTACCCCTATTTTCCATGTGGATGAGACTGCGATGATCACTTTTATGTGGGAGCAGATCAGGAGTTGAGAGATGGAGATGTGACTACTGGACAACAGGGATAATTTAGTGGGATAGCTTCGAGGGAGCTACTTTTACATGTATAATATATAAATAAATTATGTTACTATATTTTGAAGTTCCGTTAGTGAACCGGAATTTCAATCTATGTTACAATTACAGTAATATAATGTAAAATAGATGTTATTTACTTGTTTACTACTTTGCGAAGACATCATTATAGTAGCGATTTCTAGGGTCGTTACAATAGTGGTATCAGAGCGGTAGTATCCTTGTAAATTTGTGGGGATGGGTAGTGAACCTATGATAAGTCCATTGTGATTATACTCTGATATGTGAGTGTGTGTGTGAATGTTTGCTCTGTATTGATGATTGCGTTTGATATAGGATGGCACCGCGACCTCCTACTCCTACTCCACCGAGTGTAGATGCCCTAGCTAGGGCAATGGAAATGTTAGCAGCTGTCATGCAGCAGCAGGCTACCTACCCGCAGTGGAGGCCAACTATGGCATCATCCTCTGCTGGATTTCACCAATCAGAGCAGATGGGACTGACTGAGTTCATGAGGCATAATCCGCCTCGTTTTGGAGGAGATTTGGGTCCAGATGCAGCAGAGAAGTGGTTGCGTGAAGTGGAGAAGATTTTTGAGGCTACCTTATGCCCGGAAGACAGGAAATTGACATTCGGAAAATACTTACTAGTAGATGAGGCTGAGTTCTGGTGGTCAGGGACTCAAATGATGATGATTGCACGTGGGGAGGTGTGTAATTAGGAAACCTTCCGTGAGAGGTTTTTGGAGAAATACTTCCCTGACAGTGTTAGATTTCGGAAGGAGACTGAGTTCCTGAGTCTGAGACAAAGTAATATGACGGTGCATGATTACGTCGTACGATTTGAGCACTTATCTCGTTTCTACACAGGTACATCTTCAGAACAGTGGCTTTGTAGGAAGTTTGAGGAAGGCTTGAGGGTTGAGATCAAGCAAATAGTGGTTCCTTTCTCTATCAGGAGATTCCCAGAGCTGGTGGAGAAAGCGAAGACAATAGAGAGACTCCAAGAGGGAGGAGTCAGAGTGATGAGGACCCACCCAAGTGGGAGTAGTA